CAACTGATTCCTTATTTTACTACTAATTTAAGGACTTGTAATGGCCTGTAAACATTTTATCTTGCTCTATTCTTTCAACTCTAACTTTGTCTCTGCTTTGGAGTCATAATATATTTAATGTTGTTCTGCTCACCTCTATACAGTTAACTTTTTGCTTTCATTCTGTATAGATAAAGTTATACTATAAACAGCCTACATAGTGCAAATATTTATCTGTTTATCAAATACCACATTATGCTGTATAATATCTGTTTTACTATATAATCTATTTTAGACATAGCTGTTTAGAACTAGAGTGTGCTATTTTTGTGTTTTTCTGATGTGTGGTGCTAGATAAGTTACTTTTGTGAACAAAAGCAAACAAACCCCTTTTATTCCTAGACAATACCACCTTTGGGTCTTGTTAATTTCACTGAGTATAACTATATATAAATATATATATATTTGTGTATATATATATATACACCAACATATGCCCAACAAGTACCTGTATCAGAGTACAAGATTTGGGACATGGTTTTCTCTTTAAATGCATAGTGTCATTATATAAATTATTCTATAGTATATTTAATAAGGAGAAAATTACTTCACCGGTACAGATACTTGATATCAAATGTAGAAATTTTTTTCTACATTGTTAACATTATTAATTATTAACGTTAATAAAACTGTTCTGTCCAGCTTGTTATCCTTTTGGTTACTAAAAACAGTCTGCCTGTATTGTATCAGAAAGAAGAAAAACATCTAATCTGCCAGTATAAAGTAATTACAATATGCTGTCTGTCTGAAAGGGAGGTAGTTATTTGGCTTGTTGGGAGAGTTCTATCCTGTCATTGCATCTGATATTTATAGATGTAATTCTGCTGGGTGCCTTCCTCCCTCTTCACTTTAAATAGGATCTGTACACACTCAAACTGCGGATGTTACTAGGCCACGCCTACACACTTAACTCCAGTTACTGTAAATAGGAATTTTCTGTAAATCTTCCACAATAGATGGATGGCTAAATTCAGTCCTTGGATATGCTTTATAAATCATTCATACATATCCAATGACAGCCATTAGCAACTAAAATTAATTAAGAAGTGGAATTTGCAACGTTTTGTCAGGTCTGGGGGTTTTGTTTTTATTTTTCATGTATTCCTTAATTTACATAGTCATGTACCCTTAAAAGTATTCCTATCCCCTGTTCCTTTCATTCTAGATTTTTTTTTCATGTTAATTCTTAGAAACTGATGGATATCAAATATCTAACTAAGGAGGTAATTAACCTTTTAAATATTTATTAGAATTTTTCTGTAATATTACTGAATTTATAAGATCTTTAGCAAAGATTTTTGAGCAATTTATTAAATACGATGTTTCTGTTTACTGCACTTTTTGATAATAGAAGGTAGTGAATTTTAAAGCCATGGTTCTTGGCTTCCATGCACTGCTTTTATACCCTCAGTCCAAGGAATATATATATATAAATAATTTTTTTTAAACAGCAAACATACTGTTGTCCTAAAAATAAATACAAACTTTACTGCAATGTGGGTATATTTTCATAAGTGGAATGTTTAATTGCAAACACTATCAGGACAATTATAAAAACCTCTTGAAGCTACAATCTTATTTAAATATAAGCCATGACAATTTTATTTTCCCTTGTTGATTTAAGTCACCTTTTGATACTTTCAAAGAGAAAAGGACTCGCTCTTAAATTTGTACGTACTAACCTATACATAATGCCAGGAACATATTCTCCCTATTGTTTTAATAGTTTGATATATTTATGCAAAACCATTTGGTTAACATATATTCTCCCTGTTTACTAAATTTTCAATGTAACGAGACCAGAATAAATGCTGATTACAAATACACATCAGTTTGAAGATTAAGCACATAGACTTCAAAAACCTCGTTGAGTGATATGCTCAAATTTCTGTAAATACACACAAGTTAAAATGCAATTATACTGTACATGTAAATATATGCTGTCTGTTATGTGTACAGTATGTATAAATTCCTTTTCTAGCTACAATGAAATGTAAGCCATCAAGAGGAATACTAAAGTGGTATTGTACTAAACCTTTGCTAATGATCTTTACCCAATCACTTAACTTTTCACTTTCATGGACCTTTCCAACTCACTCTTACGATAGCCTGCTTATATTCAAGTTTGTTATTTTACTCAGTCCCGAAAAAAGTATTTTGATTCATTTTGTAAATATGACTGTAAAAATAAGAGATTTAATGTTGTCTTTTAAATACTCCAATTTTCATTCTAATATGAATGTTGTTATATTGTACTTAGAAACTGTACCTTTAATATTACATTACCTTTATTAAGTGCATTGAACACATCGATTTTAGATGTGCTTTATGTACTGTTATCCTGTAATAAAACTTCAGCTTCTAATGGAAAGATCTGTCTTAATTTTTTGTCAATAGCATATTGATTTTCTAAATTGTGGTTTATTAGGTTTATTCCTTAAACAATGCGCCATTACAAAAGTAGGCTGTGCTTCCAAGCATGTATATCAGAGTTGTTTAGCATATACATCAGATAACGTTTAGCAGTGGGGAAACAAGAAAACTCCTGAACACCTTTTAAGCTCCCCTTTGGCCATCAGGAGCTTTAAGCCTCTTCAGAATGAATGTGGATTAATCTACCTCTCCCTCCTTGAAGGGAGGGATTCTCCCTTGTTTGAAATCACAGTTCACTGCATCAAGTGCAAGATACAAGAAATCTAAATGAGAATTCAGGTATCCAAATTGATATTTTAATACAATTTAGGCATCAAAATTCAGAGTTGCAACTCCTCTCTGCTGTGCTAATAACATTGGGAGCACCGGAATGTCAGCAGTACACTTTGGTCTTAAGACTTCAGGCATGTAAAATTACACTTCTGCACCTACCCAGAAATGCTTCAGCCTTCATAGAGCTTTTACAGCTCAGCATTTATGTGCCTGACCACAATCCAGAAACAGATACTAGCATTCATCTTTGAAGCACTGTATCTGGAAGCAGCCTTCACCTACAGTCCAAATCTACCAAAAAAAAGTAGTGAAAGTGATCACTTTCTTAGAACTGTAGCACTAAGTAGTGCCATTTGTTCTACAGCAGTTCCATGACTAAAGCTGTCTTCAAGACATTGAAGACCCGGATTTAATTTTCTTATCCTCAGGACATGATTCCTGCCCAATCTTTCCACTCACAGGAAAGTTCTTAACCACCAAGATACAGGTTAGGCAACAACTATTTATGTTCCATATAAAACACAGGAATTCTTCTGAAGTGAGACAAACCAAGGACTCCCATGTCCACCCATAAGGAAAGGTAAACTGTAGCTTATAAGGTGGTGGTGTGGTTTTTTTCACAGAATTACAGAATGGTTGAGGTTGGCAGGAACCTCCAGAGGTCACAAGCAGGACCACCTAGAGCCAGTTGCCCTGGACCATGTCCGGTTGGCTTCTGACCACCAAGGATGGTGACTCCACAACCTCTCTGGGGAACCTGTGCCAGTGCTGGTCACCGTCACAGTGACAAATTGTTTCCTGATGTTCATGTTTATGTCATGGAAGTAGAAAGATCGCATGTAGGAACCAGCACCATTTAAAAGGAAAGCAAAAAAATCCCAACCAGACACGGCAGGTTTTAGAGATACAGACTGAAGTGGGACTTAACCTGCCATTTTCACAATGTAAGTCTTCTAATTGTTTGGCTATGTAACTGTTACCATGCTTGGCTTTTGAAGTAAGATTACTCCTTATGAGGCTACCTCCAGGACTAGGCTCCGAGTGGATCCAGGAGGGAGATAGAAACTTTTCCACTTCTCTGAGATATACAAACCAAAAAGAGCAGAATTAAAAGCAAATAATGTCCTTAAAACTGATCTGCAAGCAAACTAAAGCAACTCATTTGTTGGTGGGCTTGGACATAATTCTGAATCATCTCAGTATTATTACTCTTTGTGTATCATGCTCAGGGCTTTATTTACAGGACTGGTTGCTATGAACATTTTGCTTCGTGCCACAATTGTCACTTCCCTCTTAGTTTCTCCATCTGTAAAGCTGTGAAGGGGATCACCTTTTCTTGTAACACTACAAGCAAATGGGCTTCCATCACTTTTTGAATTCCACACTTTACCACATCGGGAAGCCTGATCAGAAAAAAGGTTTTGCAGGTCTGCCCACGTGTTAACAAATTGAAAGTTTGATCCAGGGGAAGTGGAAGCCCAGGGAGAAGAGGGAAGCTGATAAATAGAGCAACCTTTGCGGGACACCTCAGCCCTCACACACATCCCCAACATCCCTCAGGGACGAGGCACCAGGCAGAGCCTTGCCCAGACGCCTCTGCACACCCTGGACGGGAGCTACCGCTCGAGGCACTCAACACGTGGTCAGGGTCACACCTTAGTGAAGAACATGGAGTCAGAGCAGAGCCCGCAGCGCGGAGAGGCCTTGGGCACACTTCATCCCCCGGCGAGGAGGGACAGGGCCGGCAGCGCGCCCTGCCCCCGCCCGGCAGCGGTGCCGCCTGCCACAAGATGGCCGCGGCAGCGCCGGCAGCAG